AGAGAAGTGAGAAGATTCATGAAGAAAAAGAACCTCAAGAGTAGACTTGTTAAAAGAGATGAAGGATAGTTTAGCAAAGAGAATGTGAAGTGCTATGAATGCAACAAGATGGGGCACTATAGAAATGAATGTTTTCCATTTCAGAAGGCTAAGAGGAAAGACAAGAAAGGCATGAAGAAAAAAGCTTCTGTCGCCACAGAGAGTGATGACGAGACTAGCTCAACAAAAAGTGATAGCTCCTTGAAGAATAGTGTTGCAAATCTTTACTTCATGGCTCAAGAGGATAGCAATAATGATGAGAAGGTAAACTATGACTTCTCTAGTTCAATTAATGAAAGTTCATTTGAGTATTCTTATGATGATTTGTGTGAAGTTCTTGAATGCTTTATGAATGATATGAAGAAACTAAGGAATGAGAATCTTACTTTTACTAAAACTATTCCATTGCTTAAAATGAGATTAAATCTCTTTCAAAACAACATGAGGTTTTAGTTAAAGAGAATGCCTCCTTAAATGTTGAGATTGCATGTTTGAAGGATGAAGAATCTAATAATGCTTTAAACAAGGAAAATGAGGATTTGGAAAAGAGAGTTTGTGATATTAAAAAAGTGATTTCTAAATTGACTTTAAGAAAAATTTGATTCTATTTTGAATTCTCAAAGAAGTGTTTTTGACCAGGGGCATTGTATTTGATTATTCTAAAAGGCAAAGGACTTTTAAGAGCTTTTGTTGTTGTACCTATGATTTTGATGATTACAAAACACATTTGAGTAACTAATTGGTTTATTTAAGTGTGTAGTTAAGTTGCTAAAAGATTGCAAATAAACTTGGACTACATTAAAAATAGACCAAAAGGATTGAAAATGTGCAGAGAGCCAGCTCTGGAAGCTGCTACTGGCTCTGGAAGTTGCAGCCGGCTCTACGGGTAAAGATTTAAAAGTCCGTTGTTTGGCGCGCGTGGAGAAAAGACGTAGAGCCAGCTCGAGCTTTGCAGCCAGTTGTAAGGGCGCATTTAATGCACAACGGTTGACTTATTTGAAGAATAATTAATATTTTTTAAAGGCAGAATACCAAAGCCAGCTCTAGGTTTTTTGCAGTTGGCTGTGGAAGAAAACAGAATGTGCAGCAAACCCGCAAAGCCGGCTTTGTGTTTTGGAGCCGGCTCTATGGAGAAAACAGAATGTGCAGAATCCTGAAAAGTCGGCTGCAGAAATGGTGAGCCGGCTGTTCAGAGTCGGCTCTAGGAAGTTAAGCTGACTCTCCTAACAATCCTGCAACTTGAGCTTTGCATCATGCAGAGCATTTAATGATTCCCAACGGCTAGAAACGGCTATTTTCGAGCAAATGGCTATAAATATGATTGGTAACAGATTTGAAGAAGTTTAGAGAGTATTGCATTGAATATCTTTACCTACCTACATGTGCTTTAGCTTGAGTGTTCGATCTTTGAGAGATCTTTACTTGTAATCCTCTTCTTGTTCTATTTGTGAGTGATCTTGGGGGTGTGATTAATCCTTCAAGAGTGATCTATAAAGAGGATTCTTGGGGTTTATATTGTAAAGAGGTGAGATTTGAGAGAAACACCCTTCTTCTTGTAAAAGGATTAAGTGGCTCCTTTAAGCCACCCTTGTTATTGTTAGTGGAGAGTGTTGAGGAAATCCTTCCTTGGTGAGTGAAGCCAAGGTAGAGGTCTAGGCTCCAAGTGGTTGGACCGAACCTCTATAAATATTGAGCAAGCTCTTCTTCTCTACTCTCTTTAATTTTGGTTTTGTGGTTGCAAAAAAGGGAGAATTTTTGGAATTCCAATTCACCCCCCTCTTGGAGTACATTGAGTGAACATTTGTAAGAGCAAGTCAATCCTTTAATCCTAAAATTATTTACTATTGTTGTGATGCAGAAGGACACTTTGCCTATGTATGTCCTTTAAAAAGGTTGATAGCTCAAGACAAAGTGAAGCAGATTTGGGTTCGAAAAGGAACTATAAGCACTAACCCCCAAGGACCCAAGCAAATTTGGGTATCTAAGATCAAAAATTAATTTTTGTTGTCTAATTGTGCTTTGTGAGCAAAATGAAGAACAAATGATATCTAAATAGTGGACGCTTAAGGCATATGACAGGTGATCTTTCATGATTCTCATCACATATGCCTTTGGATGGAGGCACTATGACCTTTGGTGCCAATGGGAAAGGAATTGTGAAAGGAATTGGTAAAATTAACAAATCTATTTGCTTTGATGATGTTTGGTATGTAAATGAATTGAAACATAACTAGCTTAGTATTAGTCAATTAGGTGATCGTATACTCAGTGTTTATATTTTCTAAATCTCATTGCAAGATTATTGATTTTAGAGATGATAGAGTGTTGTTTGTTGGCAAAAGGCTTAAGAGTGTGTATGTGATTGATTTGTATGACATAGATGCTAATGTTTTTCCTGCTTCCATATTTCATGATAATGGTGTGTGTGATGCACACATGAAGAATAAGTAAACTAGACTTTCCTTTAAAGCGAAGAAGTGTATAGCTAACGAAAAAAAAAAAAAAAACTCATTTGAATTACTTCATATGGATTTTTGGACCTATGCACACTCTATGTCTTGGAGGAAAGTCATATGTGCTTGTGGTGGTTGATGACTACACTAGATTTACATGGGTTGCTTTTCTTGCACATAAGAAAGATGCACTTGATGCTTTCAAAAGCCTTTACAAAATGCTTCAAAATGAAAAAAAATTTACCTATTGCTTTTATTAGAAGTGATCATGAGGGAGAATTTGAAAATGATGACTTTGAAGACTTTTGCATTGAACATGGTATTAATCATAATTTTTTAGCACATAGAACTCCTCAACAAAATGTAGTGGTTGAATGGAAAAATCATACTATTGAGGAAATGGCAAGGACTAT